GAGCAGCAGCACGCGGTGGCGAAAGCACCCCCGAGCGCAGCGCAGGTGGGCTCGCGACCTGAGGAGGCGGGCAGCAGCGGAGGGCCTGGAGCCCAGGCAGCAGGCGAGGAGGCGCAGGCCACGCCGCCACCGATTGAGCCGCAGCCAGGCTGGGCGCTGCCGGCGCCCAGGGAGACTGCGGGCGGGAGACTGCCGTCGCGCCCCCCCCTCGCGGCAGGTCGCCGCCACCAGTGATAGGGTTTATCTCATCTCTATTGCACGGGATCGGGCTCTGGCGGCGCAGAGGGCAGCCGAGGCAGAGAAGGCGGCCATGGCGGCAGCTCGAGCGGCGCCGCTGCCGCGCAGGTCGTTGCCCAGCGACGCCCAGCTCGGCGATCCGATCCCCCCGAGCGGGCCGGACAGGCGCGCTGGAGCTGTCTCCGACGACGAGAGATGGGGGGGCTGGACTCCACAGGGCCGAGGGACCACTACTCCGGGCGGCGCAGGCGCGGCCGGCGTGGTGGGGGCGGGGCCCGCCCAGGCTCCAGCCCAAGAAGGGGGGCCGGTCAGGGAGCTGGCCCCGCGCCTCAATCCAGGGTGCCCCTACCTGGAGCACAGCGCCCCTGGGGGGGCATGGAAGCCGGGCTACTGCTGCGACAAGTGCGGGGGCCGCCACCACGAGCAGGACTGGGCCGCGGGAGGCGTCACGCACTACAAGTACTGCGAGAAGGTGCCTCACGGCCGCGAGGGAGTGGAGCAACCCGGAGAAGGAGGTGGAGGAGGCGGCGGAAGCCGCAAGAAGAATAAGAAAAAGCAGAAGCCTGCGCTGGACGACGCGGTGGTGGAGGGTCGGGCTAGGGCGCCGGCGGCGCTTCGCGATGATGTTGAGGAGGAGGAGCCGTCACCCGAGTGCCCACCCCCCTCGCCACGTGAACTGAGGAGGAGGAAGAGGGGCGCGGAGGCGGAGGCCCGCAAGGACGAGCCGCGCATCAAGCTCGTCGCGAGGATGCTGCCAACTAAGGTGAAGGAGGAAGAGGGCTCTAAGACGGCTGCAGCCTCGTCGTCAAGGCAGGAGACGAGCGGCGGGGGTGGCCGAGGGGTCGACCCCGAAGCTGCTGGCCGCAGGTACAAGGAGCTGGCGGAGCGCGTGGAGGGCAGACGCACCATCGGGAATAGCGCGGCGAACCAGGAGTACCGCCGCCTTTTGGATCATGCGGCGCACGCCCTAGCACGGGCCCAGGAGTTGCGCCCGCAGGTGCTTGAGGAGAGACACGGCGGGACAGCCGCGCCTGAGGGTCAGGGGCGGCCTAGGTCGTCGGAGGAAAGGAGACGCCCAGCGAGCCCGGCAAGGAGGGCTAGCTCAGCCCCCCCCCCCCCCCAGCCTACGCGGAGCATTGGCGTGCCGCGCGCCCGCGCCAGGGAGCCCTTGCCGACGCCGCCACCCAGAGAGAGGGCAGTCTCGCGCAGCCCGCCCAGGCGCAGTGCCACCCCAGAGGACGATGGAGGCGAGGATGACGCGGCGAGCTCTGTAGGCACGGCGCTGCAGGCGGAGTCGGAGGAGGCCGACGCGGGCACGGGCAGCGAGGCTAGGATGGCGGCGTTGAGGGCCCGGGCCATTCAGATCAAGCGCGACGAGGACGACGCGGTGGAGATGGCCAGGAGGAGCGAGGCGTGGCAGAGGCCAGGGGCGCCACGGGAGGGCCTCAGCCGGGGGCCGCTTAGGTCGAGGCGTTCTCCATCGCCTGGGCTATCGGCGCCGAGCTCCCCGCCGCTCCACACATCGCGGCAAGCCGAGGCGGAGGGGCGCCCGGCCTACGCGCCGCTGCCCGGCGAGGACGTAGAGATCAACCCGCGCGCGGTGGCGCGCTACCTGGCGGACAGGCGGAGCTCTGGCAGCGCGGGCTCGGGCGAGAGGGGCGTTCGCACCCATCTGGAGGCCATGGCACGGGATGCTACGCATGGCTCAGGCCGCCGTCGCGAACGGGGTGGCGATCGCAGGCGCGATAGCGGTGGAGGAGACGACCGCAGGAGCGGGTGCCACGAGCAGGCGCAAGCTGAAGAGGAGCTCGAGGCGCTGGTGAGGAGGTGGAGCTACCCCGAGCAAAGAGGTGAGTGGCTCGACTGGGCTCTGGCAACCATGGGTGCAGGCGAGGAACATGACCGCAGATCGGGGGCCACCTCGCATAAGGGCAAGAAAGGCAGCAAGAAGGTCCGCGGCACGTACGAGAACAAGCCGCCGAACCTCCTTGGACCAGAAGCAGCCCGAGCGAGTGCTCGCACGGACGACCTCACTCTGACAGACCTTAAGACGCGCGAGGACTGGGAGAAGGCCAAGCTTGAGCTCATTCTCGACAAGCTGGCTCGCTCCACGATCAAGTCGTACAGCATTGGCTGGAGGTGGTGGACTCTCTTCTGCCGCACGAGGGGAATCAGTCCGCTTCGCGAGATCACACCAGAAAGCGAGAGGAATGAGGAGGAGCTGCTGCTGGAGTTCGTCATCCACCTGGCGCGCCGAGGCTGCAAGAAGGCGGGCACCATCAAGCAGTACCTGATCTCGGTCCGAACCCAGCACCTTGCGCTCGGCATGGGCGACATCGCGGAAGGCGCTGGTAGGCTCTGGATGGCGATCGACGGGCTCAGAAGAAGGGATGGCGGCACCAAGCGCAAGAAGCCAGTCACTCCCCGCATGATGAGGTGGATCAGGCGGAAGCTGCAGCCAGAGAGGTCGAGAGAGGGCGCAGCTCTGTGGGCCGCGGTGGCTACGGGCTACTTCTTCCTTCTGAGAGCCAGCGAGTACGTCTCGAACGATCAGAACGGCTACATGGGCAACGCAGGCCTTCGGGGAGCTGACGTCACCCCGAAGGCGAGCGGCGAGCCGACCCGCGCGTGGGGCGAGGCGAACAAGGTCGTCATCAAGATCCGGGCCAGCAAGACCGATCAGTACAACAGGGGCGAGTGGCGCAACCACTTTCGTATCGTGGCCACGGAGGATGCAGATCGAGCTGAACACCTTTGCGTGGTGGAGGCGCTCGAGATCTATGCGGGTTGGGCCAGCGAGAAGTTCTCGGGCGCGCAGATGTACGACCCCCTGTTCGCTTTCGACGACATGCGCTTGGTGACACGCGCTGACGTCCAGCGCGTGGTGATGCAGTCGGCGGCGGCGGAGGGCATGGACCCGAACGACCTGGGGTCGCACAGCCTGAGGATTGGAGGAGCATCTGCATTGTACGCGGCATTCAAGGACACCGCTCTGGTGCAGCGCTGGGGCAGGTGGAACAGCGACGCCTTCCAGGGGTACCTGTGGGAGGCGCGCGGCATGGCAGAGGGGGTCGCCAGCAGTATGGCGGCCACCGACATCACGATGGTTTGAGGAGTTGTGCAGTCGCGCTGGCCGGAGGCTCAGAGCGCGTGGGCAGCAGGGCCGAACAGGCCAGTGCTGAGAGCGCAGGGGAGCTTCGAGGCTGGCAATGCGGCGCCAAGCATAGCTAGGAGTGCTGGGCTGTGCGGGGCCAGGTCCCCCCGCCAGTGCGCGCGGGGGCCCTCGAGGTGGGCCCCGCGGCGCGCCAAGAGAAGACCCGGTGCAGACGCACCAGAGGGGGCGGCGCTGGGCCGCCAGGAGAGCACGAGGGGGGTCCAGCGGCGGCGGGGCCGCCGCCGCAGAGCTCGTGCCTGCGGAGTGGACCGCAAGCGCCTTGGTGCCAAAAAGGGGTGCTCGTCCCCCTCGTCATCATCAGGAGACAGAGTGGCGAGGAGGAGGAGGAGGAGTTTCGAGGCAGCTTGAGGACGGAGAGGAGGTTTGTCGGAGGCGGCCTGAGGGCTCAGGGCCATCAGGCCCAGGCGAGCCCGATCCGCCCGGGGCCCTGAGGCGGAGAGGACAGGAGGAAACGCGATCGTTCGTGAGAACAGTGGGTTTCCTCCCGCCTTGCAGCCTCCTCTCTGCTCTTGTCCTCTCCTGCTGCCGTGTCTCTCAAGGCTCCCCGAGGAGCCGCTTGCATTTTGGGGTCCCACCCACCCACGCCAGAGGAGGTGGGGCCCCAGCCGAGTTTGCTCGGCGGGCCCCCACAGGGGGGCTCGCACGCGCTTGCCGCATCGCGGTCGGCGCGTCGTTTCGCCTCCCGCGAGATCCCTCGCGGGGGGTCCAGCGGCGGCGGGGCCGCCGCCGCAGAGCTCGTGCCTGCGGAGTGGACCGCAGGCGCCTTGGTGCCAAAAAGGGGTGCTCGTCCTCCTCGTCATCATCAGGAGACAGAGTGGCGAGGAGGAGGAGGAGGAGTTTCGAGGCAGCTTGAGGACGGAGAGGAGGTTTGTCGGAGGCGGCCTGAGGGCTCAGGGCCATCAGGCCCAGGCGAGCCCGATCCGCCCGGGGCCCTGAGGCGGAGAGGACAGGAGGAAACTGGCCGATCCCCGCAACCCCGAGCCCAAAGATGGTGACGTCTCGCTTTTGCTTCCGCCGCCTTCTGCCAGCGGACCCGCTCAGGGCCCCGAGAGCGAGGACTTTGAGAAGCAGGGATTTGGGCACGGTCCAGAAAACTGCAGCCATGGGCCGAAGCATTATCCGCTTTCGTTCTCCCCTGCTGCGTCTCGCAAGCGCCCTGGTCTGCAGTGCCCTGGTTTTTCAGGGCGTTGACCCGCCGCCGCTTGACTCCCGTCGTGCCTCCCGCCGAGGGGGAGACGGGCCGAAGGCGAGGCCCTTTCTTCGGGGGAGGGCCGGGCGAGACGACGGCAGCTCTCCCACCCGGCCCCTCCTCCTCCTCCTCCTCCTCCTCCTCCACCTCCACCTCCTCCTCCTCCTCCTCCTCCTCCTCCACCTCCACCTCCTCCTCCTCCTCCTCCTCCTCCTCCTCCTCCTCCTCCTCCTCCTCCTGTGTCGAGGCGGACCCAGCCCTGGCGACGAGGAGCCTCTCCAGGAGACCCCCCCAGAGCGGCGAACAAAACGCCAGGGAGGGCCGCCGCTGCCCCGACCGGCCCTCCTCCCATCTCTGGAACGCCCAAGCTGGGAGGCCCGCGATGCCCAGCGGGGGCGCCTCTCCAATCACCTCGCCGACGTAGGCGTCGGACGGCAGGGAGTACGGTATCCTCTCCTCGCCTGACCCCGGCGTGGGTTTCCATCGCTGCCGTCGCTGCTGCTTGCACTGCCGTTGCCACCGTTGATCGTTCTCTTCCACCTCCACCGCCTCCTCCACCAACCAACTCCGAGTCCAACCCGACAACCATCATTCCCCGCTGTCTCCAGCATTTCGGGATTCCTTCTCCGCGAGTTCCTCCAGCAGCTCATCCTTCTCCGCCTCCTTCACCTCCTCTTCCTCCTCCTCCTCCTCCTCCTCCTCCTCCTCCTCTTCTTCCGCCACCTCCTCTTTTCCTGCTGCTCAGCCTCGTCGATATGCGACCATCCTTCGTCGTTCACCCTTCCGCCTTCCCAACCACCTCGGATGGACGCGCCGAAATTCTTAGCCGAGAGCTGAGCGGGTGGAGGGAGGATGAAGGGGAGGGGTGGGCGAGGCGGCGGCGGGTTCATCAGGAACACGAGTGCAAATTCGGCCGAGATTGGAAACAACGAAGCCGCCTTTATTTTTCGAATGCGCATAATGCGGTGCTTAGCGCGCGGGGGGGGGGCACACGCGCTCCGCGGCACACAGAGCGGACAGATCTCTGTGGTAAAAACAACGGCTGGAACTCCTCAAAACCGTGGGGCTACCATCGCAAAGTGGGCAGGCGGGAAACCATCACTCGCCAGAGCTCGCCGGCACCCAAGACCCAAGGAACCAAAACCGACGACCAGGCGCCCCAAGGAGGGCACCAAGGAAAAAACAACAAAAAAACACAGGTTTCCTCGCGGGGCCGCCCGGATCCGCCTGTTGATGCTTGCGCTTGAGCTCGGAGAGGAGGTGAGGCGAGGAGGAACCGACCGACGATGACCTCGAAGGAGGAGCAGGGAGCGAAAGGGAGCGGGATCCCGCCGCCAGCGGCAGAGCCTGACCCGCCCCGACTGCCTGCATCAGCACCTTCCACATCACCACTTGGCGTTGCGCTTCTTGCCGACGCTGAGGATGTGTGTTTCTCGTGGTCATGTTTGATCTCTTGGACACGATAACGCCGAAGGACTTGCGAGTGACCTCGGTGGTGTTGGCCAGCACGACCTTGGTACGTTCATCCAAAGCGTTATTCTCGTCGCTGGAGACGTTGAATTCGCCGCCTGGCAAATCCAAAATGTTCCCAGCATCTGAATTCCAAGGACTATGCTCCCGTCGAGAATATCCCGCTGACACAGGCCGGCAGCATGAGGAGCGCCGCTGTCATCAGGCTTGCTGGTATATAACTGTAGCTGGCCAACCAACTCCTTGTGATGCAAATCTGTTTGCTCGAATTCCCCGGACATTTTCTGGACGGCGCTCAGCTTCTCGACCACCCGCTGCTTCAACCTCTCGAACTGCTCGACATCCTTGTGGAGTTTCTTCTCGATGTTGAGCACACCTTGGTGAGCCTGCGAATTGCGTTCCCGCAGGGGCTTCTGCTGGGGCCCCAGCTCGGCTACACGATCCCTCCCCGGGGCAATACTGAATTAGTTGGCTACGGCCAACCAGTTCGACATTGCCCTGGGGATGGGGCGTGCAGGACACCACAACCATTTCCTCGAGCCCATCGATGCGGACTGGTCTCCCGACGGTGTGGGCTGCAATTCAAACTCCAACGCTTGTCCTTGAACTTTTTTGGAACGTCGTTCCCATGGCGGTGTCGCGGGCGCCATGAATTGGAAGATCGGAGAATGGTTCGGTCAAAGAAACTGGTTCGTTTGTGCAGCGCGCCGTTCTGAAGTTCACACAAGTGAGACCCTCTGCCAAAGTGGTCAATGCCCAGAACGGCTGGAGGAGGGACGAGGAGGGGGAGAACGAGGAGGAACGGGGAGGGAGGGAATGAGGGAGGCGGGAAGGAGGAAGGCGGAAGGAGGGAACGAGGGAGGAGGAAAGGAGAAAGGAAGAGGGCGCAAGGAAGACAAGAGAGAGAGGAGGGAGGAACTGGAGGAGGAGGGGGAGGAGGAGGAGGAGGACGACGACGACCTCCCCGACCCCACCGAGCGTGAAGCGAATATCCGGCAACGCGGCGGGGTCGGAGCAGCCCCCGCCGATGCCGGCGACCACCGCGTCCTGCCCGCGCCCGGGCCCCGCCCCTCCCCCGGAGAGGAGGCCCGCCCGCCGAGCGCCTGGCGCCGGAAGCCGAGGGCGCCGCCGGCGGCGGCCCGCGGCGACGGCCCGGCGCGGCGAGGGCGGCGTCGCGGGCGGCGACTGCGGCGGCCACCGGCGGCGGGGGCGGCGGCGGCGGCGAAGACGTCCGCCGCCCGCACCGCCCGAGCGGCCGGGCGGCGGCGAGGGCGGCGGCGGCGGCCACGCGGGCCTGGCTGGAAGCCGCTGCGCCACCTCGGGGGCCCATTGCGGGCGCGCGCACGGCCGTGGCCCCAGAGACTCGAGAGTCCATGAAACGGATGCCCGACGCCTTCGCTCTGCCCGCGCGTGCTTCCTCCATGAGATAGTCTCGGATGGTTCGCGCTTGCGGCCGTTACCGGCCTGGCCCCCTCCCCTCTCCAGGCAGCGTCACGATTCGTGCCGACCCCCAAGTTGTCTTGGGTTTTCCCCGAGCGTTCCCAAACGGCGCCGGCGAGAAATGTGACATTTATCAGCCCCCTCCCCCCCCTCCCCACCTCCGTAACGCCCGTTTTCGCCCGGCTTCGGAGGTCCGTGACGTCCTCGGCGCACCCACGCCGAGACGGCAGCGCCATCCTGCCGACTGTGAAATCCGCACGGCCCTCAAGGGGCCTTTGCAGCAAAGCCACAATGGAAGAGTGGCGGCCACTGCTGCCTCGGGGCTGCTGTCGCGTTCGGCCAGCTCTCTGAGGGTCGGCACGATGGGGCGGCAGCTCGAGCCCGCTTGGATCGGTGCAAAGGCGCGTCCCTGCAAGCGGAGCACCCGTTCTCGCCCAGGGATGGATAACGAACGCTCTCCATTCTGTTCGCCGTGAGGGGAGGTCTGGCACGTCTTCGGGCCCCCTGGCCCTGGGGCGGTGGGAGGAACGGGAGCGCCCTTCGGACGACCTCCGGCGGGTGCTCTTGGCTGGGCCCGTGGCCCCAGCTCGCAGTGCGTCCGCCAGAACTCTTGCGACGGACGCATCGCAAAGAATGACAGGGCAGTCGGGTAAAGAAGGGAAGATCGCACGCAGAGGGAGGGCCGCAAGAAAGGGAAGGTGGACACTACTGAAGTCAAATGCCGCGGTCAAATGACGATCAGTCCGTGGGCCGTGCCTGCCAGCTCCGAGGGATGAGGAGTACATGTGGCGAGTGGAAAGTGGGCGAGTCTTCGAAGAGGCCCGATGCACGGGCACGAGGCACGCTCCGCCTCCTCCTCTGCTCACGCACCGCCTGGCTCAAGGCTTTCACCTGACCTGGCCCAGCGGCCGGCGCCCGAGGTGGAGGCATGCGCACGATCCGCACATTGGCCTCCGCTCTCACGCGCCGTCAGGTACAAGGCTTCGCCCGACCCGACTCGTCGGCCAGTGCCCGAGCTGTCTCTGGTCTTCCCGGCCGCCTCGAGCGGCTTCGAGGTGACGACTGCCTCGAGCACCCGCTGGGTCGGCCCGCTCCTCGGCCTCCGACCAGGCTGCGCAGAGCTGCTGATGAAAAGCTCGCAGCGCTTTTTTTATTAGGGGCAACGTTTGGGAGGGACCAGCTCGCCCATCGACCTGCGGCAGGCCCCCGATGGCAGATCCGCACCCCTTCCTGGGCTGGGTGGGCTATCAGGCCCCCATCGGCGCGATGAATGAATGAGCGATTGAGGGCCGATGCATCCCTCCTGGGCCTACCCCTCCTGACGTTGCCTCTGATTCTGCTGCCTGCTGTTCCTAGCCTTCAGGCGGCCTCGGACTGCCTCGAGTGCCAGCCGCCTGGAGAGCTGGCGCCCGAGCTGTCTGGGAGCCTTCTGGCTACCGCTGAAGTTCGGGAGCGGCCAAAAGGGGGGTGTCCAAGACGGGGGGGGTGCAAATCATGACCAGCGGCATGTGCGCGGCCCAGCGGGGGGGCCAGGGACGCAATGAAATAAGAAGAGGCGCCATGACATCTGGGGAAAGATCATGGCCCCCGCCATGATATCCACCCTCCCTAGTCATCCCCCCCTCTTTGCCGCCCCCGAGAAGTGGGTCCCAAACTGCATCCGACGCCTTCCCACCGGGGACACCGGGACCAGCAAGGATGGCCCCGCTTGCTCGGAGGGCCTTCCTTTCGAAGACCGCCCCCCCCGGAAAGCGCGGCCCGCGCCCTGGACAAGCGGAACCCTTCCCCCCCCCCGAAGACATCTTGGCCCCACCAGTCGACCTACCCCCCCCTGGGTGGGGATGGGAGCCGTCTCCGCTGGGAGTCGCAGCGCCCATCCCCGCCTACACCTCGCTCAATCTCTTTCTCAATGCCTCCTCCTCCCTGCTCCTCCTCCTCCTCCTCCTCCTCCTCCTCCTCCTCTGCCTTTCCTCCCCCCTCCTTGCCTCCTCCTCCTCCCTCCCTCCTTGCCCCCTTCCTCCTCCTCCTCCTCCTCCCTCCTCCCTCCCCTCCCTCCCTCCCTCCCTCCCTCCCTCCTCCCCTCCTCCCTCCTCCTCCTCCTCCTCCTCCTCCTCCTCCACCTCCTCCTCCTCCTCCTCCTCCTCCTCCTTTCCTCTCCTCCCCACTCCTTGCCTCCCGGGAAGGGTCTGCCCCCCGTCCCCCTTTGGCGCTCCACGAGGTCGAGGGCGTCTTGAGGCATGGCCAGCAAGGAGGTCCCGCTGTCCAGCACCGCGCCGCAGCCCTCCTCGAGGCCGTGTGCGCAGGGGAAGAAGCGGAGGACAACACGGTGCTCCTGCTCCTCCTTCCTCATGCTGTCTCCTGCTCCTCTCCTCCGCGCCCTCTCACCCTCTCTCCCCCCCTCCTCCTCATCATCCCGAAGGGTCCGAAGGCGCGTCTCTTCCGAAGCATGGGATTCCCGTGGGATCCTGGGCATCTCACCCTGAGCCGGCCCGAAGATCGACCTGCAGAGAGCCAGAACGGCGGACCACGGACCGTCCCGATGTGCATAATCCTCTGGATGATCTGGGTCCCTCCTCCTGCTCTTCCTCCCCCTCCTGCTCTGGGGGACAAGACGATGCCGATGCCGCTGATCCCTGGACCTCTCAGGGCTCCGGGGCTCCTCCTCCTCCTCCTCCTCCTCCTCCTCCTCCTCTTCTTGCTTCTCCTCCTCCTCCTCCTCCTCCTTCTCCTCCTTCAACTTCCCCTTTTCCTCCTCCTCCTCCTCCTTCCTTCGCGCGCTTCGGCTTCGGGCGGTCACAAGCCGCCGCAGCCGCGCGACCCCCCGCCATGCAGGGCGGTCAGACTCACAAACATCGCCTGAGGCTCATGTCTCCTCCTCCTCTCCTCCTCCTCCTCCTCCTCCTCCTCCTCCTCCTCCCCTCTCCTCCTCCTCCTCCTCCTCCTCCTCCTCCCTCCTCCTCCCCTCCCTCCCTCCCTCCCCCTCCCTCCCTCCCTCCCTCCCTCCCTCCCTCCCTGACCTCCCTCCCTCCATCCATCCTTCCTTCCCTCCCTCAGTCCTTCTTTTCCTCCCTCCCTCCCCCGCCCAGCAGAGATTTAGACCTGAACCCAACATCGGCGGGGGGAGCTCCGTACCGCAAGATGGCGGGGCGAGCTCCGTACCACATGATCAGCTGATTACTATCATCTCCAACTTCACTTCATGTTTGCCCCTCCCGCTCTGCTCCGACCGCCACCGCCTGTGCTCGAGCCTGGAGCGGAGCGTGGCCGCACGCCAGGCCAAATCGCACGTGGCCGCCGTCGGGCCACGAGGAGAAAAAGCGTACTCCCTCCCTCCCTCTCCTCCCTCTCTTCCCCTCCTCCCCCTGCTCTTCCTCCTCCCCCTGCTCTTCCTCCTCCTCCTCCTCCTCCTCCTCCTCCTCCTCCTCCTCCTCCTCCTCTCCTTCCTCCTGCTCCTGCTCCTGCTCCTCCTCCTCCTCCTCCTCCATCCTCCTCCTCCTCCTCCTCCTCCTCCGCCTCCTCTCCTCCTCCTCCTCCCCTCCTCCTTCAACTTCTCCTCCTCCTCCTGCTCCTGCCCTCCCCCCTCCTCCTCCTCCCCTCATCCTCCCTCCTCCTCCTCCTTCCTCCTCACCTCCTCCTCCTCCTCCTCCTCCTCCTCCTCCTCCTCCTCCTCCTCCTCCTCCTCCTCCTCCCCCCTCCTCCTCCATCCTCCTCCTCCTCCTCCTCCTCCTCCCTCCTCCTCCTCCTCCTCCTCTCCTCCTCCTCCTCCTCCTCTCTCCTCCTCCTCCTCCTCCTCCTCCTCCTCCTCCTCTCCTCCTCCTCCTCCTCCTCCTCCTCCTCCGCCTCCGCCTCTCCTCTCTCTTCTCTCATCTCCTCTCCTCTCCTCTCCTCCTCTCCTCCCTCTCCTGTCCTCCTCCCTCCCTCTCCTCTCCTCTCCTCTCCCTCCTCTCCTCTCCTCTCTCCTCTTCCTCTCCTTCTCCTCTCCTCCTCCTCTCCTCCTCCTCTCCTCTCCTCTCCTCCTCTCCTCCTTCCTCCTCTCCTCTTCCTCTCCTCTCCTCTCCTGTCCTCTCCTCTCCTCCTCTCTCCTTCCTCCTCCTCCTCCTCTCCTCTCCTCCTCCTCCTCCTCCTCCTCCTCCTCCTCCTCCTCTCCTCCTCCTCCTCCTCCTCCTCCTCCTCCTCCTCCTGCTCCTCCTGCTCTCCTGCTCCTCCTGCTCCTCCGCCTGCTCCTCCTCCGCTCCTCCCCCCTGCTCCTGCTCCTCCCCCTCCTCCTCTGCTCCCCTCCTCCTCCTCCTCTCCCCTCCTCTTCCTCCTCCTCTCCTCTCCTCCCCTCCTCCTCCTCCTCCTCCTCCTCCTCCTCCTCCTCCTCCTCCTCCTCCTCCTCCTCCTCCTCCTCCTCCTGGCGTCTGCGTTTTGGCACCACCGCGGGAGCGAAAAAGGCCGCGGCCGGGTGCCC